TCGTCAAACAACCGAGGCCTACCAGCATCATAACGCCTCTCATGAACCTGTCCACTTTCCTTGACGCGTTGGTACACAGAAGCAAATACTCGATGACTCGGTATTCGCCGATTCGGAAAACGGTTTTCGTATTCTCGCCTGGCTTCAACGGAATTTCCATCATTTAAACCATAACAAAACAGAGTATCAGCGTATTCTTCGTTACGGTAACTTGCCATTATTAAAACTGATCAAAAAAGTAAAAGTACGTCCTACCGCGTTAAAGGTTGATATTCTACTAACTAACCTAAGCGTTAGTTCCCTTTCCGTGATTCGTCAGCTGTGTCAATTCATAACACACGCAGAGCTTGCTTCCGAGGAGCGACGACAGATTCTGAATACTTAAACCCGAATAACGGCACAGGGCACAAAAAATAACAAAAAGGGTCGAACTATGAAATGCTCGGTTTACCTGCTCAGTACAATGAAATGCGCTTAGCGGTCCTTTCTAGCAAAGTAATATTGTTTTGTTAAATGGTTTACTTACTGATATCTTATTATACCATTTTAGAAACCTAATGAAACGAGGGAGTTTTTGCAGTTATTTGTACATTTTCTTTATTATGATTTTTTTGAAAAAAAAGATTTCTTAATGTGAAAGTTGAAAATAAAAATTTTCATTTAACATTTAAATGAAAATAAATACGTTTTCAGTAGTGTTTTCATAAGTTTTTAATTTATGAGAATTATTTATTTAAGTAATAACCTGAAACCACCAAAAAAAGAATGTTTAATCACCAAATTTTTTTTATCTCAACTATTTTACTCTGTAATCTGGGTTGTTTTTTAAAAAAAATTAAATCTTCAATAACTTTTTAACCTTTGAATATAGGGTATGGTATTATATACTAATTTTGATAGCAAAGGAGCTGTACTATCACCTCCTAAAATGTTTTACACCTATTTACCTGTCACCATGTATACGAGTATCTGTAATATATTTAATAAAATGATGAACCTGGTCACAAAGGCTTAATGGGTCCTGCATTTTTTGGTATTTACCCTCTGGTATGTTCGAGCAAATCGGCAACAGGGCGCAGGGCCTCCATACAATGCCAGCGTCGGCCTTATCGGCCCACGCGGCCTCTGCACACAGTGTTTGCCCAACAGATAAAATAATCTAACTCCTGACCCGACCCGGTCCGTATGCTGAGAATTATGGCCTGGACGCCGAACACTCCACACATTTCGATTGATTTATTATCGCCTATCCCTTCGAGAGGAAGTTCAGACGCACTGCTTTTCCAAGAAACATACATATGAATGTAGGATTTTTCTTTGGGATTCTACCCACCCACACGATTACGTTATAGTCATAATTTAGTGGGTTTGGGTTTGCTATTATAGCAGGAACCATATTTTGTACGGTTCCATCCTGTCTCAACGTTTCGCTCGCTTTATGGATCAACCTTCCAAAAGTAGTGAAGCCATTTTAACAGAAATGGTGAATGTACCCATATCTAACTATACTGGGTGTGGCAAAAGTACCGGACGTCTCTATAAGCTCTTTGGGAATACATCTTAGTGGAAAGTGCTCAAAATAAAAGTTGTAGCATTTTTCCTTAACTATCGGTCTGCGACGTTCGATACGACCTCGATTTTGACGTTGAAGGTTATTTGTACGCCAGCTTTCAATTGTAAGCTCCTACTTTTGATTCCTATAATGGATCGAGCGGAAAATTATACGTTCAATATGACCTTGAACGACCCTCCTACTTGACATTGGGCAATACCTCAAGGCTAAATTACCACTAATGTTCGATAACTGCTAGGGAAATGCTTCAAATAAAAGTTGTAGGATCCTTCCTCAGCTATCAGAAGGCGACCGTGAAGGTTATTTGAAGGTCACCTTCAAAATTTTAAACGTAAACCTCTATTCTTGACCCCAGCAATGAAACAAGCGAAAAATTTTACTTGTAGATTTGATTTTCAATGACCCACATATTTGACCCTGTATGACTCCCTGGCAACTAAGGCAAAGATAATAGATCCTAACAACTAAGGCAACATCAGGTTGTTTCACGATGTAACATGTAATAATTTTAACTTTCGTTCCAAATATTTTTAATCCGTCTTGATGTTTTCCTGACACAGCTGTGTGTACTTTATACTAATTTTAACGAATGTACCATGTATCCAGCTTTCGCCAGGTTACTAAATGTTTCCCTCAATTTAACCTTTAATAACATTTAGCAACAATCTCACATACTATTCTCCTGATGATGATGGCAAAGTCCATTGATAGCTACAGACTAATAAAGTAAAAAGAGTCCTTATGGCTTTAATTTTGTCGAAGTACCCAACTAAAGGCGGAAGCTTTATTTTTCACCTAACTGGTCTAGACAATGACACCGTCTCAAGTTATACAGGGTGTTTCAGTTTATTGCTGCATCACTTTAAGAGTCGATAGAACTTTACTGCATAAAGTCTATATAAACATGGGTCGAAAAATGTATGGCTTCCAAAATACAGGGTGTTTAAATTTACTTTCTAAAATAGTTTTTTTTAAATATTTCGAACAATATTTGATGTATAACAGTAAAAATTGGTATACAAGTGTTTTTTGGTACAACAAAACGAACCGTGGGCATAGTTTTACTGTAGCCGCTAGAGGGCGCTCTCTACTGTACCTGTAGTGTATTAAAATGACCGAAATTTTTTTCTTAGTGCAATTTTTTGTTTTTTTAATAAAAAAACTGATTCTCCGCACTTTTCAACATAAAAAAGCTCTCTTGTGAATTTTCGTTGTAGTTAGCCGTTTTTGAGATATTTCGATTTTTAAGGTTCGACGCATTTTTAATTATTTATGATAAAATAACGTTAAAAAGTCAGTATCTCGATAATTTTTAGAAGTAGGCTGTGCCTGCAAATATTTTTGAAATTGAAGGCAGAATAAGGTTAAACGTCAACTAGTTGACAGTTAGTTTTGTTGTCTGTTGAAACCTGAAACGTTTTTTTGCAATTGTGAATGCACGAATTTTAGTTTCTTTTACCTGTTTTTTTTTTGTAAGTTTTATGAAAATGCCATTTTTATTCTCCAATCAAGAGTTAGCGGATATTCATTTTGTGTATGGCTTTGTAAATGGAAACGCAGCAGAAGCAGCCAGAGAATACGCACGAAGCTTTCCAAACAGACGACATCCAACTCGCTCAGTATTTGCAAGAGTGCATCGCCAAATAATTGAAAATGGTTTTTTAAATCTCCGAAGGGATCAAAACATAAATGTTCGTCAGCGCGGATTTACCCGCTTGATTCTGCGTGAGTTTGATAGAAATCCGACCACAAGTGTTAGGAAAGTTTCTGGTGCCTTGGGAATTTCAGCAAGCCATGTTCACCGTGTTCTTAGAAATGACCATAGACGTCCTTACCATTTGCAACCTGTGCAAGGACTACAGCCAGAGAACGGAGAACGAAGAATCACATTTTTTTCAGTGGATTCTTGATAGAACTGATAATAATAGGGAGTTTTTAAGTAACGTTTTATCTACCAATGAGTCATGCTTCACTAGACGTAGAGTAGTAAATTTTCATATATGGTCGCATGGAAATCCGCATGCAGTTCGGGAAAGAAATTTTCAGCATGAATTTAGTGCGTGTGGATTGGTATCTACCGTAATCGACTATTTGGACCCTACCTTTTGCCTGCAAGGTTAAATGCTGCGACCTTCTTGGAATTTTTAAAGGCTGAACATGCAAATATGTGGGATGATGTTATGTTAGATTTAAGAAGATTGGCCTGGTTCCAGCTTGATGGTTGTCTAGCTCATTATTCGAGAATAGTTAGAAACTGTCTGGATGAAAATTATCCAGAAAGATGGATCGGCCGTGGAGGACCAGCCGCCTGACCTCCACGATCCCCTGACCTAAATCCTTAGATTTTTTTGTGTGGGGATTTCTAAAAGAAAAATGTACCAGACTCCCGTAACCACAAGAGATATGCTAATAGACATAATCAGGAATGCATGTGAGAAATAAGGCCTTATTTGAATAATGCTATACCACGTTCGATCATTCGTAGATGTGAATTGTGTATTGAACAATTGGGTTTACATTTCGAGCACCTACTTTAGATTTTGTATGTTTGTCCTCACTATCCAATAGCATTTTAGTTGTAAATAATTAATTTAATTTGTTAAAAATAATATTGGAAAATTAAACAAATTAATATTCTGTTTTTTTGTGTTTATTTGGAGTTAGGAATTATTGCTGTGTTTAAAAACACAATCTAAACGATCATCTTAATTACTTGTAATGCCCAAATCGAAAATGTAAAAAAAATATTATTTTCCCATAAATAATTAAAAATGCATCAAACCTTAAAAATCGAAATATCTCAAAAACGGCTAACTATAACGAAAACACACGAGAGCTTTTTTATGCAGAAAAGTGCGAAGAATCAGTTTTTTTATTCAAAAAGCAAAAAATTGCGCTAAGAAAATTTTTTCGGTCATTTCAATAGGCTACAGGTACAGTAGAGAGCGCCCTCTAGCGGCTACAGTAAAACTATGCCCATGGTTCGTTTTGTCGTACCAAAAAATCCTTGTATACCAATTTATACATATGTTATATGTTATACATCAAATATTGTTCGAAATATTTAAAAAAAACTATTTTAGGAATTAAACCTAAACACCCTGTATTTCGGAAGCCACGCATTTTTTGACCCATCTTTATATAGACTTTATGCATTAATTTTGAAAGTTCTATCGAATCTTAAAGTTATGCAACAATAAACTGAAACACCCTGTATATATATATATATATATATATATATATGATGTGTGTCCCACATTAAATACTTTGTAAGTAGTGTCATGATCTCTGATTAACAAGCCCTCAGGTTTATAACAGCCTTGGGTAAAGAAACACCAGTGGTAAGGTCTAAAACAAAATTTAATTGTCACTCCCTCATTGTCAGCATACTCTACAGATCGCAACAGCTTATCTGAACTGCACTCACCTTGCTTGCTGTATGTATTACATTCCTTAACATTTTGACATTCAGTTACTCCACAGTAGCTTGGAATTTCTACCTTGGTGTGCCAACTAGAGGTCATGTATTCATAATGCGGTGGGCTAATATGCCCACAACCTACACAGTCTAAGATGAGCTCTGAAGAATGGTACATATGGTTTGAATCTACAATTTTAGGACAGGAGAACAGTAAGATATAGAATAATGTCTTCTTTAATGTAAAGAAGAAAGAATATATATATATATATATATATATATAACAAAAATAGGAAAATAATGGGAAAAATCCGCAAAAAGTGGATTTGAGCAGAATAGGATAGGTAACCCGAGCGATACGTATTTCTGCTGGTTGGCTTCATCAGGCCCGAAATGAATGCACATATGCAACTACAAAAGTAGAGACACATGCCCATACATCCGGATACGGGTGTAATCTGAGGAAACAAAGATGGAGAGGAAAAAAAAAGAGACACACGAAGTCCACAACCTTTCTCCGCATGATAATTTACTCTTTATATATATATATATATATATATATATATATATATAGGATGTACTCGTCGGAATCATCCTCCAAGATATAAGCATTCTTTATGATAGTCCCAAACTAAACTAAAAAATATTACCGTAATTTCAATTGTTTACTCGCCGCTGTTTTTCTTGGCACTCAGTTGGGTCGCCCCTATGGTTTTTTTAAAGGAAGACAAAGTGCGCACTCTTACCGCAAGGAGAACAAGATAAGTGGAAAAATCGCTAGAACCGCCTCCTTTTCGCGCTAACACTGTTTTCTTAAATCGCCATATTTTATAAACGCTAATTTCTGTGCAAGTGGCTGTTAAAAAGTTCCAGAAGAGACCAGGGATCCCTGCTGACGTCAGCACCACAGCACTACGGTAAGCACCATCGTAGTGCCTTGTGGTCCATTCTCTTCCTTTTTCTGGTTCTATTATTGGCACTTAAGGCCCTTAATTTGGTGCATTGTCGCAACCGCCACAGAAATTCTTCGAATAAGAGTATTAATTAAGCATGATAGTTACTGTAGTTAACAAATGGTGACTTAAACAAGTATTAGCCGCATGCATTTATGCAGCTGCCAACGTTCAAAGGTCGTCAGTCATTGTCGATGTGAACTTCTGATGTTGTAACACGTAGTCGATCCATTTTGTTCCATAAGCATCATCAAAGTGTGTTGAAAAAGGCCACCGAGGTCGCCGAAACGACAGTAGCTTTTATATTTATGGTTCCAACATGGAGATTGATCAGCGGAACAATCGCAGAATAAGTTTCAGACATTAAGCTTTATGGATGTCTTAAGGCCGTATTTATTGCATGTCAATCGGTTCTGTCTATGGCGACCTAGTACAGCTAGTTAAATCACCCTGACTTCTGAGTGACCTAACGATTTGCTGCCACCTTACACCACGATAATTTGTCTGCAACGTTACAAAGTACTATTCATCATTATTAGTTCACGAATTCTCGTAAACCACATAACGCCAGCACGTCAAAATCACGGCTGTAACTTCGTGCTTTGTGCGAGATAATTCTACAAGCTTAAAGTGTCCTAATCGTAGACCTCCAAAAATCTAGACGTGACTACTCCACAGTAAGTATGCAGGAAGCGTTTTGGTTCATACGATTGGTAAACTCATCTCTGCATTTAATTCAAAGCTGTATTCCGCATCGCTCAAAAGTAAACAATATGCAGGAGTATTATACAGGTAGAAAGATCGTCATACGTTCTGACAGTCAGGCATCACTCAGAACATCATAACCTTCTAATCGCCCTGTGTAGGGCACTGATAGCAGCTGTCCCGTAATTTCGATCCGGAAAATTTTTTAGACGAAAAGCGAGATAACCGAGGTATTTACTATGGAAACTGACCCAGGGGGGTCAGGAAATGGCGCTTCCACGATGGCAATGGAGATGGAGTCGAAGGAGCAGACCATAGAGGAGCTGAGAGCCGAATTGGAGATGGTTCGACAGCAGCTGTCAAAAAAGGACGATGATAAGAAGACCAATGAAAGATTGATGATGATCATCGAAGCCCAGCAGCGGACAATTACCGACCTAACAGTTAAATTAGACCTCCTACTGAAAACCCAGGTACCTTCCCATCTAAATATTACAAATTCTTCCCAAACACTTCCCAAAAATCCTAGTAAAGACAAAGCTGTCAATCTTAAGAGACCGTTAAATAATTCAAGCGATCTTTCCACAGACGACGATACACTCCCTGATGGTTTTACCAAGGTTAAGCCCCGTAAAACGCGACGAAACAAGACCGACACGACAGGCTTTCCTCCTCTCCCTCCACCAAAATCGCAGTCTGAAATGTCTCATTCATCTGCAAGCGACTCGAATAAACAGCCTGTGCCTAATCTATCGGTTACTTCCACGCCTTCGACATCTCAGGTACCAGAAGACACGACTGCACAGCCCCCACGCAAGGTACGTGTTACCCCCATCGTTCTTCGCGATGCTTCGAGATGGCGAGGCGTAAATCACAAGCTTATTTCTTTGGGCATCAAATTCGAATGCGCGGTTGCCGTCGATGCAGGAATCAGGATAATTCCAAGTCCGAGGATGATTACCGCAGGATTATTCGTCTCTTCAGGGAGGAAGAGGTGCCCCATCACACTTTCCCTCTACCCTCCGAGAGGAACATTCATGCTGTAATCAGAGGAGTACATGCGACACTTTCGGAAATTGAGACCAAGGAAGAGTTGCAACAGAGGGGATATTCCCCCCTGCACATAATTCGCCTGAAACGCGGTGGCGGCGTGCCCATGCCTTTGGTGGTAGTCATACTGCCCAAGATAGAAAAATCTCAGCAGCTGTTCAACGAACACGAGCTGCTAGGTTTGGCTATCCGAGTCGAAGTTCAAAAGAACTCAAGACTCATCGGGCAGTGTCACCGCTGCCAAAAATATGGGCATGCGCAATCTTACTGCACTGCACCACCTAAATGTCTAAAATGTGCCTCTGACCACATGACCCACTTATGCCCTCAAACAGAACAAGAGGAACGAAAGTGCGCGAACTGTGGAGGGGGGCATCCAGCGAATAGCCGAACTTGCAGATTTGCCCCTAAGAAAAATCTGCAAGTGATAGCGCAAAGGCGCAATGTAAGTTACGCGGATGCAGCTAGGGATGCAACCCGGGCTGCCCCCTCTGTGGGATCTTCTGCGAACACGCAAAATGTGGACCTGGCAACCGCGCTAAGGTCCTTACAGCAGATCATAGGTCCTGTGATTAGCGCAACACAGGCTTTGCAGGCGATCTTTCCTGCAAATGGCTAGGTACAATCGACGACAGCCTGCATTTATCAAAATTCTTTTTTGGAATTGTTTGGGTCTAAGGAACATTCCCAAAAGACGGGAATTTCATCAAGCTCTTGTGGACGAAAGTATAGTTGTGGCCTTGCTGCAGGAAACATTACTTAATCCGGGAGATCGTCTAGCTTTCCCGAATTACGATGTTATCCGGGCTGATAGATTGACTGGACGGGGTGGCGGCTTGGAAGTGCTAGTGAAACGCGGTATTGACTACCACAGAAACATAAACGCTGACATGCAGAGCATCGAAGCGGCTTCCGCGGTGCTCAATATGACGGGAGGTGTGCCGTTAAAAATCACATCGGTGTATGTCAGGTGTGGTAACAGGCTGCAAGAGGCGGATCTGGAAGTCCTTTTAGACTACTCGGGTCCACTTATTGTGGCAGGGGACTTCAACTGCAAACATCGAGCATGGCATTCCAGGTTGAATTCCACCAGTGGAATCCGACTGTACAACTATGTGATACGAAATGGCTACCTCATACATAGTACTGAGGAGCCGACGCACCACCCATTTAATCACCTTCAGGCACCTGATGTTCTTGATTTGGCATTATCCAAAAACTGTAGCTACAGTATCACTTCTCGAATCATGTATGACATCTCAAGCGATCATCTTCCCGTCGTTTTGGAAGTGGCTAATGAGCAGATCTTGGGGGATGAAATCCCTCCAAGGAAACGCATTGATTGGGAGCTATACAAGTCGCTCCTCAAAGAGTTCCCCAATATACCGATCATAGATGATGAGAAGGTATAGATGCGGCTCAAGCAGAGTGGACAAGTTTTGTTCAGCAAACTCTGCAGCGTGCAGCTGTACTTCCCGTGCAGCGACACGGCAGACCTTTTCTGCCAGCAGTCATTCGTCAGAAAATTTCTGATAAAAGAGCTGCAATTAAGCAAGCGAAAAGGTCTTGTCATCCTGATGACATTCGCAGAGCGACGAATCTTATTCATGAAGTAAGAAATGCTCTTCATGAATTCCGCAATGAGCAATGGAACGACTTTCTGGCGGGGATGCTTGACTCAAGCATTCCTCTCTGGAAGGTGGCGAAGTCGCTCAAAAACGGAAAGCGTGCACAAATCCCACACATTCACGGTCCTGGAGGCATTGTCTTCAGGTCAGAGGAGAAGGTTGAGGTTTTCGCCGATGCCATGGAAAGACAGTTCTCTCCCAACTATGATCTTGATAATGACCTCGACGAGGAGCAACACATCGTAAGATCTGTCAGGAGATATTTTAGGGCCAACGGCGTCAGTGAGTCGCGCATTCGTTGGTGATTTTTTTCATCAGATGATTCTTCTTCAGAAGCTTCTTCAACCGAAGATTTGCTTAGCACATCAGCGGTATCTCCTGAGATCCCGCATTGCACACCAGCAGAGATGCAAGGTCATATTAAAGACCTTAAGGTGCGTAAAGCACCTGGAGAGGATCAAATCACTAATAAGGCGCTGAAGCTGCTTTCGCGGAAGTCCTTAACTTATCTCGTGGCAATAGTCAATGCCATGCTAAGGATCCAGTACTTCCCATCCGCGTGGAAGACCGCTGAAGTTATAATGATTCCAAAGAAGGTGGGTTCGATATTTCCCCAGGATTATCGTCCCATTAGCCTGCTGTCAGCTGCGTCTAAGCTCGCTGAAAAGGTGATTCTACGTCACCTTGAGAATTTCTCGTCAGATCACCATGTGATTCCTGACGTGCAATTCGGTTTTCGGTCTGAACATAGTACGGAGCTACAGGCGGTTAGGCTGGTGGAACGTGTAACCAGAGGATTCACCCTTAACGAAAGTACTGGCATCTTGCTTTTGGATGTCTCAAAAGCATTTGACAAGGTGTGGCACGCGGGCCTCTTGTATAAACTAATCCAAAAGGGCTTCCCTTTTTGGCTTCTAAAACTACTGAACTCCTTCCTTGAAGGTAGGAAGTTTCGGATCAAAATTGACAATGTGCTGTCGACAACACGGCTGATTACAGCCGGCGTCCCTCAGGGTTCGGTCCTTGGACCTATCCTTTACTCACCGTACATCCATGACGTCCCTAGTCCCAGCAACTGCGAAGTCTATCTCTATGCTGACGATACTGCATTGGTGGCTCAGTCGTGGTCTGGTGACCTAGTCCATGACAGGCTGCAAAGTGCGGTGGAAGAAGTATTAGATTGGGCGGATCGGTGGCTTATTAAAATAAACCATTCGAAAACGCAGGCAATCTACTGTACAAAAAGACGTTGCGGCGTTCCGTCTGAAGTTTCAATGAATGGACTTCGTATACAATGGGAATCCTCCGCTAAGTATCTCGGTGTCATTCTGGACAAAGGGATGACTTGGCGGAACCATATGGAAGCGCTAAAAACTAAATTCCAAATTACGTTTCGGCAGCTTTACCCATTACTATGTAAACGGTCAAAATTAAGTTTGATTAACAAGATTCGACTCTATAAGGTGGTCATAAGACCAGCAATGACTTACGCATGTGCGGCTTGGTGTTTTATTGCTAAAACACATATGCGAAGTCTGCAGGTTCTGCAAAGCAGGACGTTGCGCACTATTGCTGATGCCCCATGGTATGTCTCTAACAAAACTCTACATAGAGACCTCGATGTCCCTTACCTAAAGGACTACATTAAGCAACAGGCGCAGCGACGCTATAGCCTAGCGGAATCGCACAGCAACCCTCTGTTGCGTGAGTCAGTGGACTACACAGTCGAGCAAGTTCGCAAGCACAAAAGGCCGCGGCTCGCACTGTAATCAAAATTAACTCGTGAACTTAGAACAACCAAAATTGGAGCATTTTTTACACAATCTTTAGAAAAAATCAAATATTTTTAGACCATATCAAAATCTGTGAAGCGATTTTAACAATGCCTAGACGCTGCCTATCCTAAAAGATTCTCTTCTTCCCCTTTGCTCTCGTTCTTCCTTCTCTCCTTTCCTTCCCCTTTTTTCCTTAAAATTGTCTGGTTTCTGGGTTACCAGACCTGACAGACTTACAAACTGACACTGTGACTCAAGAGCTAAGGTCCCACGGACCGCTCTGACAACCAACGATGACTTGAGATCATAACCTTCTGTTCTCCAAACTCAATAAAACTCATAGGTAGCATGCATCATAACATTTATACTATATATTTTGAGATACACGAAAACTAAAAACTATTTTTCGAAAACTAGTTTATTTATGTTTAAAGCATTCTCCTCTAACATCAATGCACTTCTGTAACCTGCCCCACAAATGAAATGCTTCTAACGAGCTTTTGGAATGTTTTCAAGAAACTGATTGCTGTATCGATTTCCTCTTCGACGAAAATTTTAGACCACCCAGATATTTGTTTAAAATTCTTGAAGAGCCAGAAGTTACACACCAAATCTGGCGGATAAGGCGGATGTTCTAGCATTTTGATGTGGCGCTAGCGTACAAATTCTACAGTTAATTGGGCAGTTTGGCTAGATGCATTGTCGTGATGCAGGATTTTACCCCTGCAACAACTTTTTTGAATGAAGATGATCGTCCAAATGGTATGTTCGGTTACGGATCCTACCAGAAGAGCTGCCTCTATAGTAGGATATGTGCAGTGATAATCTTCTTCAATTAGCCGCTGAACTTTTGCAATGTTTTCTTGAGTCACACTAGAACATGAGCTACTACTACATTCTTCATCAGTCAATGAAACAAACCCTCTTTTAAATTCAGCATACTAGCGACGGAGATTCATTACCAAATGCCTGTTGTAACCGTTCGATTCATCGATGTTCACTTAAATCGACTTTAAGCTCATCGTAAATCATAGCACGATAACTCTTTCGAGACAAGTCCATGTTTCGTCTTAAATTTGTTTACACCACGTGCACTTTAAGACGCTTTCAAATGAACTGAATGCGGCGACTTATTAATAAAGGACTGCTCTTTGATTCAATTATACACATAATGTTGAGATTTCAATCTCTCAAAATCCTAAACATTTTTGAAGTTTCATGCATACAAAAAATCGAACTACTAGAATTCCTGTTAAAATGAAATTTAATAACGTCTCACAGGACTATCCTTACTGTGCTGATAATACATTTACAGATATTTTTATAGTGTTTTTGTTGATTCATCTGCTCGTGATGGTTTAATTGAAGGCAGGAATCCTACTAGTCAGGTTAACATATTTCTCAAAGACAGTCATTAAAATGAGATTACAGGAAAGGAACCAAATTTGAGATACCTTTTTTGAAAAGGAAAAGTAAAGTACTTGTTGTTTTAAACGAGCGTATATTTTTAAATAAACTTGCGATTTGTTGCTCCTAGCATACTCTAAAATAAAAAAATAATATAAAAATTACATTTAACAGACAAAAACTATATTTTTAAAAAAGTAAATATTTTTGTGAATTTACGGCTGCTTCCCTAATTTGAGATACTATTCAAAAAGTCTCTTTCTTTTGCAGAAACTGCAAATACAAATTTTATTGGTGATTTCTTCACAATCTTTATGTGCCCATCTACTACAATGGCTGTATTTTGCCCATTTTCACCCTTCTTATCTTCGGAAAATCGACCCGTACAAAATAAACATTCAGCATCGCTTTCATGGTGCATTCGTCTGAAGATCTAACTTAAGGCTTCCACTGCATTCTGAACTTGAACTGGAGGGGGAAGGTATCTATCCGAATCCTTTTGAGGCTAATAATCCATCTCCTTACTCTTGTGTTTCCAGGCATCTGCATCTAGATACAGGGCCCTAATTTGAGATAATCTCAAATTAGGCAAATTTGGGTTTCTCAAATTAGGAATTTTCCGTTAAAAAGTTTACACAAGCATATTTAGGTTATATACCTAATAACACACAATATTGTAAAAGAAAAAAAAATTTTAACTCCCAAGAAGTAACAAGTGATGTCACAGCACCCTGTGCAAAACTAAACTGTAAACACATGTAGGGTACTACTGCGTCTTAGTTCACAACTTTTTGGTATTACCAGAAGATGATGCTACAAAGATAGGTACGAAGTTACACCACTGTCTCAAATTAGGCGCTTGTCTCAAATTTGGTTCCTTTCCTCTACTGCTGCATCTAAGAAACTCAGACAGCATACCGTCGTTCATGGACAAAGATTGTATTCATGTCTTTGTTAAACCGTCATTAAAAATATTCAATCTGTCTATAGAGACCTATACATTTCCTGATATTTGGAAACTTTCTAGAGCGGCACCTATTTTTAAATCAAGGGATAATACTGATATTAAAAACTATAGAGCCGTGCAATGTTGTCAAATTTCTTCAAATTACTGGAGATAGTATTGCGTAATGGAATCTACTCCGCAGTTCATAGATCTCTGACCACTTTCCAGCATGGTTTTCTTACTAGGATATCTATAGTAACTAATTTAACAATCTTCACTCAGTTCGTTATCGATTGGCAAGGTCAACTGGATGTAGTGTATACAGATTTTGCTAAAGCGTTCGATAGCGTGGACCTCGGCATTCTGTTGAATAAGGTTTTTTTATTATTGATTCCATTAAGCAGCTTTAGCACTCATTTATAGTTATCTTTACGAAAGGAAGCAATATGTTACTTTAAATGGATTCAAGTCGTACCAGTATATAACTAAATCGGGAGTCCCTCACGGTTCAAATCTTGGTCCTTGATTGTTTAACTTATGTATTGATGATGTGCACTATTTAAGATGTAATAAACTATTTGCGGATGATTTAAAATTATTCAGAATTATTGAGTCTGAGGCTGATTGTATTGCACTTCAGCGGGATATTGATTCTTTAGCGGCTTGGTATGATGAGAATAATTTACTTCTTAATGCATCTAAGTGTAGTATAGTCAGATTTTCCAGAAAAACTTCTGTTTGTAAATTTAATTATAAGAACGGGGATGTTTACTCTAGAGTTTAGGAATAAACTCGTATTTATGTTTGTATTTTTTTTGTCAACTAGTGGGTCGAAGTCGACTCGACTAGAAATAAACCAGTTATGAAGTAAATGGTGTTTGGTTCGCACCCCCAGTTATTACACTGGCGACGAGGAAAAGTTAAATATTTTACGGACATAGTTGTGCGTGATTTTTTTTTCGTTCGCAGTTGTACGCCAATTGAACAATAAAATGTCAATCGGACGGATGTCGGAGTTTAAGTTAAGTGGGTCGAACTGGAATACCTACATTTCCAGATTTGAGCAGTACTTCATTGCTAATAAAATCGAAGAAGAATTGAAAGTAAATACACTGTTGGCTGTCGTCGGGGAAGAAATGTTCGAGCTGATGATCGATTTGTGTAACCCGGACAAACCGGAGGAAATTACTTACGAGGCATTGGTCAGGTTAGTTAAAAATCATCTCCACCCAGAGCCGTCCAAAAGAGTAGAAAGATTCAAATTAAGATTACGCAAGCAAGAGCCCGGCGAATCTTTAGCGCAATATTTAGCTGCACTTAAAAAACTAGCTAAAACATGCCAATTTGGAGACAGTTTGGAAGACCACTTAACTGATCAATTCCTATATGGCCTCCGAAGGGACAGCATTCGTTAACAACTTTTCACCGAGAAAGATTTAAATTACATTAAAGCAGTAAGGATTGCCTTAAATATGGAGGCCGCAGAGAAAAATTCTCTCATGGTGGAGGAAGCAAAGTCTTCGTCGATGGCGATGGTAGCAGTTCACAAAGTTTCGGGCAGAGGGCAACGTAACCATGGGCCACGTTCCAGCTGCTGCTGCCATTGTGGGAAATCAAACCACGAAGATATCCGATGTTTATTTTGGAAATCGAAATGTCACAGGTGCGGTATAGTGGGGCATGTCAGTGCCGTGTGCGCGAAGTTCAACCATAGTTTCGGTAAACATAGAAATGAAAATGCAAAACAAGGAGTCACTCACCATCTTGATACAGATGAAACATCTGATAGCGAAGTAAGTGAGGTAGCTGATTTAACTATCTCAAAACATATTTTCAAAATTGGAAATAACCACGAGAAACCGCAAAAAATTCACTTAAATATCAATGATGTGGTTATGTATATGGAAATTGACACCGGATCAGCCTATTCTGTCATATCTGAGGCAGAATATTATAAAAACTTTTTATCTATGTCGATGATGGAAAGCGATCTTAAATTGAAATCTTATTCTGGGAATGAGCTAGAAATTTTAGGATTTATCAAGGTAAATGTAAGGATTGAACATAGTCCCAATCCTGAAAATTTGCAATTGTATGTATTGAAAGGTCACGGACCACCTTTAGTCGGTCGCGATTGGATTATGAAGTTAAATATATCTCTAGACAATTTGTTTGATATTGATTGTACGCATTTCTCAATCAGGGCATCAGAACTATTGAGAAATAAATTTCCGGAGGTGTTTCGAGATGACGTCGGTCGCTTTAATGGCGATTGCGCTAAATTGTCTTTAAAAGAAAATTCATTTCCCGTTTATTGCAATCCTAGATCGCTACCTACAGCTCTCAAAGCCAAAGTCGAAACAGAACTTGAAGATTTAACTAAGGCTGGTATTTTAACACCCATTGAATTTAGCGACTGGGCTACACCCATAGTGCCCGTTTTAAAAAAGAATGGTGATGTACGAATTTGTGGCGACTTTAAGGTCACCTTAAACCCCAAATTACACATTACAAAATACCCTTTACCAAGAGTTGAAGATTTACTAAGTATTGTAAAAAACTGCTCTGTTTTTAGTAAGATTGATCTGTCACAGGCATATGCTCAAATTCCTTTAGACGACGAATCAAAAAAACTGGTAACAATAAACACACATAAAGGACTTTTTCAATATAATCGACTGCCATATGGAGTGTCTTCGAGTCCAGGCATCATCCAGAAAATGGTGGAGCAGGTTTTTAACAATTTAGAAGGTGTAGCTGTGTTTCTCGACGATATTCTAGTAGCTACTGAAAACGAAGAGAAACACCTTCAAATCTTGATAAAGGTTTTCGAGAAGTTAAGTAAATACAATTTGACTGTTCTCGAGAAGTGCCATTTTGGAGTGCGAAAATTGGACTACTTGGGCTATACAGTCAACAAAGTTGGTTTACATACCAATAAACGAAAAAATAGAAGCAATTGTTAATATGAAAACGCCCTCAAATGTGACAGAAGTTAAGGCTTTCTTAGGCATGGTAAATTATTATGCTAAATTCATACCAGACATAAGCTCTAAATTGCAACCACTTTATCAGCTGCTAAAGAAAAACCAGCATTTATTTTGGTCCCATATCCAAAAGAAAGCTTTCAATGACATAAAAAGGGATTTGATTTCATCTAGAGTACTGGTTCATTATGATCCCAATAAAACTGTAACGCTAGCTTGCGACGCTAGTGCTTATGGAATTTCCGCCGTGATTTCACATGTTTTTCCAAATTGTGATAGCCGACCAATTGCTTATGCTTCAAGAATCTTGACTCCATCAGAGAAAAATTATTCTTCCATTGACAGGGGAGCATGTGCAATAATTTTTGGGTTAAAAAAATTCAATCAGTATTTATACGGCCGCCATTTCACTTTAATCACGGATCATAAACCTCTGATTGCAATTTTTGGTGCAAAAAAAGGAATTCCATTATATGCAGCTAGTCGCTTACAGCGTTGGAGCATTATATTAGCATCATATGACTACGATATTAGATATGTAAAAAAAACGGAAAATGGAAATGCCGACGGCTTATCTCGCTTACCCGATGAAAACACAGCTAGTAAGATGGACTATGTAGATTTCAGTCAAGTATTTTATTTAGAAAATAATACTCCATTTAGTTTTAAGCAAGTAGCCATTGAAACAAAAAAAGACGTTACTCTTAATAAAGTTTATATGTATTGTCTAACAGGCTGGCCAGATAATGGGGTCCCAAGGGAATTGATAGACTTTTATGTTAAAAGAGATGAGTTGCATTTAGAGAGGGGTTGTATCTTATGGGGCATACGAGTAGTGGTTCCGGGCAAGTTGCGACAATATGTCCTCGATAAACTACACAGCACACATCTGGGTACGAATAAATGCAAATCATTGGCTAGGTCATATGTGTGGTGGCCCAAAATAGATGAAGCTGTGGAGCTCATGTGTAGCTCGTGCTCAATATGCAATGCAGTCAGTACTAATCCTCCAAAAACTCCACTCTCTCCGTGGCCCATAAGTCAGTATCCTTGGTCTAGAATCCACTTAGATTTTTTAGGTCCCATATTTGGAGACAAATACTTGATTGTTATTGACTCATTTACAAAGTGGTTAGAGGTATTTAAAATGCACCTGTCAATTTTCGCAATGTTATTAGAGTATTAGCTACGTTATTTTCAAGA